AAATGGCATATTATAACTTACCATTTACAAGAGAATACACATCATTTCTTAAATAAATGCTGGCATGAAAGAATCTCCTGCATTTCCCAAGGAGAAATTCTTTCACATCCTAAAACATCCTGAAGCTTTTCATCGCAATGAATCACAGACGAATTCAGAGGATCCTTTAAGTAGACAAACAAATAAATCAAGATATTTAATATTCACACTCAAAAGCATGTCTCTTATCTAGTAGGTTTAACGACTATCACACCAAAATCAAGTGTCACAAGGGAAACAATGAGTCACAATGGCCAGTAAGTTTGATGACTATCGTACCAAAATCAAGTGTCACTACTCGTCATCCCAATACATGGAACAGATAAAATTAAAGATGTAAAAAAAAAAAAAAGAAAAAACCTCTTTCAATATGTTTCCTATTTTCCTAAATGAAGAACCTAAACATTTCCCAAACAGTCGAAATCAGTATCTGCAAAATACTCCTTGAAAGAATTAAATGGAACTCAAAGAAATGAACACAGATTGTCACCCTCAGCAAATGTTCTCTTCACTTGACTAGCATTACCCACCTCCAGCTGATTAACCTTTATATAGTCCCACACAAGTTCTAATGCCTCCGAAAGGAGCATTTCTCTTTGCACAGTTCCAAAAAGGTTTGCAAGTTTTTTTGATAATACCACAGTAAAGTAACCAGTTACAGTTTTTTCCTCTGGAGGCTTTTCTTCAACCTTCATCTTCTTAGCTTGACCTGATTCTTCTGCAAATATAACCATAACTGTTAAGATATAGGATTAAGAAACACCTTACATGTGCACCCCTGGTCGTTTTACTTACTCATTGGATCGAGTGAAAAAATGTGCTTCGCAAGCAGCTTATTCATCTTGAACATATCAGTGTAGTCCGTTTCGAAAACCAATCTCAAGGCATCATCACAGATTATATTTCTTTTGTTACATGGATCTTGAAGGTTGTGTTTCCTAATGTACGCCCATAGCTGTTTTACAATCTGGATCAGAAAACAGCATCAGCTTTCCACGAAAATGGAATATTACAGGATAAAATAATATTAGAAATTGTCTTTTAATTAAACAGCAGCTAGATCTGTCGACCCAGTAGTCCGTTTCGAAAACCAATCTCAAGGCATCATCACAGATTATATTTCTTTTGTTACATGGATCTTGAAGGTTGTGTTTCCTAATGTACGCCCATAGCTGTTTTACAATCTGGATCAGAAAACAGCATCAGCTTTCCACGAAAATGGAATATTACAGGATAAAATAATATTAGAAATTGTCTTTTAATTAAACAGCAGCTAGATCTGTCGACCCAAACCTCCGTCCTTGATATTGCTGGCCCACCAACAATGGTCTGTAGTTCAGGTGACACAACACACGCTTTGTTCAGGCCGCCGGGACCACCTCGTCTTTTGGTTCCAGCCAGAGTGCTGAAATAAATATGTAAACGAGGCACATCAAGCGCTGACCATGTCTCCACATATCTTGTTCCATTCAAATGACCAAGGAGGTTCGTTTTCAAACAGGTCCCTTATAAGCAAATTTAAGGTTTAAAAATTAAGAAATAAACATGCTTCATAAATTAATACAGCTATCATTTCTTCAGTAGGGAAATTACATGCTAACATATATAATATAGAATAAGGCTAGGTTTGATTTTGTTATAAAGGCGGTAAAGCAAGGCTGCAACCAGAACTAGCAAAGGAAGAGCGAACCTCAAATTTACTTTAACAATACCACTTCGGCAGTAAAAAAACTCGTTCAATACTAAAACTAAAAGATTTCTCTTAAAAAATAGAAAAACAAAAAACCACCCTATGAAGCCCTATTTACAACAAAAATCGACGATTCGTTAATACCCATGCACAATTGACCCGAACATAAAAAATAAAGCTAAACCCTCACGCAAATTGTAAAAGTCCAATAAACTTCAACTTCATAGCATTAAAATGTGTCAAGAAAACACCTTGCTTTTGGCATTTCAGAAGCATTTGCTGATAAATTCGGGGCATCATCTCCGCCTTCAGGCAGCGGTTGATTGTATTGCACTTGCGGCTGCAGCGGCAGGGGCGGCGGAGAATGGTTGTGCTGGTGGTGGTGCGGCTGAACATGTCGGGAATGAGGAACATTAGGGAATTGAGGGGCAAAATGGTCTTTGGGAAGAGGGTGCGAGCGGTGGAGGGAAGTGATCTGTTCCCTGATGAAACCAGCTTTATGGGACAGGTCTAAACCTAGCTCTGCTTCCAGCTGCTGGACGATGCCGTTTAAGGAGGTGAGAGAGCCAGGGTTCGACTGACGAAGCAGTGTCTCCAAGCATTCCGCTATTTCCTGGTCCGACACCATGGCTATGGAGTATGGACTTACGGTTCTGCCTTTATATATTTTTTAATGCAAATTGTACGGACCCCCAAACGGCCATCTCGAAACAGTAGCTCACTATCTGTGGACAGTGTCTACAGTCTACCTCCTCAAGTCTCCTTTTATACTTACACAAGTAGGGCGTGTTTGCCGCTACTTATTAAGCCCTCATTTGAGCCACATTATTGTAAAAATGAGAATGAAAAATGTAGTCGTTATGGCCCTTGTAGAAGAGATAAAAAGTCAAATATGATGACTTGATGTGATGAATAACGATCATATTTTTCATTTTAATGAGAAAATAATGAGACTCAAATAGGGCTAAATCAGATAATGACTAATTTATTTCTATTAAATTCTTTGTATTAGTTGCATATCATTACTGCCCTAGTAAAATTAATTTGTGAGTACGTATTAAATTGGAAAAAGAATATAGTAAAATCTCTGAAAAAATAATAATGTTGAAATGAAGAAAATTTGAGAAAAATCATTAACTGATTTAGGACATATTTGACACTACTTGTTAAATCGGATAAGATCTAAATTAATTCTATTAAATTCTAATTCGATGTTAGTTGCATATATTAATGTCCAAATAAAATTAATTTGGGGCTCCTACGTGTCTCTCGCCTCACTATCTTTTTAGTTGGTATTTAGAGCATGTTTGGCGCTACGTATTAAACAATATAAAGACAATTTAATTTTATTAAATTCTTATCCGACGCATACTAGTAATACCTAAATAAAGTTAATTTAGGGCCAATTAATAAACCGGATAAGGATTACATTAAAACCTCTATTAAATATTAATGTTGAGATCGAAAAATTTTATTATTTGAGAATGGTTTTTAATTTAGTAATAAATGAATAATTTAATAATATATCTACGTGATGGTATTTCTGATCAATTGTATATACTGTGGTGATTGAATTGTCTTAGTACGATATAAATACAGAATAATCTATTTACAAAGAGGTTATTCAAGGGATACTGAATACATCGACTAAAAATGATTTAGATGATAAATGTGTTTTACAATTTGTTTCTCCAAAAGAAGCATTTCAAGTATTGTAACTTTAAATAATCACACACACACACACACACACACATGAGATTCAATATTATTAGTATAGCATACTTTTAAAAATAAATAAAAATCAATATATTTAAATTTAATTATAAAATTTTCATATAAAATTTTATAATTTAATAAAAAATAGATATTTTTCAC